AACTTAACCTTCTTATACATCATGTATTGGTAATTGATACGATACAGTGAGTTGGCGTAGTCGATGGTGTGACTTCCACGTAAGATCTTATAGATTAGGCAGTTATATCATGACGAATCTACAAATTTAGGATTAGGTCTATTATTAGAGCAGTACTAATATCGTAGTAGACCATAGTTCTACAAATGTATATTCACGCTATATACAGGTTGCGTTTCTTTAGTTGGGCTCACCAATGTAGAACTATGGTCTACTACGATATTAGTACTGCTCTAATAATAGACCTAATCCTAAATTTGTAGATTCGTCATGATATAACTGCCTAATCTATAAGATCTTACGTGGAAGTCACACCATCGACTACGCCAACTCACTGTATCGTATCAATTACCAATACATGATGAAGAACCAGCTTAGGTTAGAGAAAGAACAATATATTTAATATGAATAGAGCCCACGCCTGCATGGCGGAGCCATGCCACTCGATCAACTCCAGTCCATTCAATTCATTGTTCGCGCCTTCTCCATTGTTAGGTATTTCTCCGCGTTATATATTGAATATCCATTTTCTGAGTAGTCTCGTGTTCACAGCTTTGTGGATTGTGTGGCTATTGTCCAATGCCACTACAGTGCCACTTAATGTTGACAAAAGTGGATTTAACTTAAATCTGACTGTACACACACATACACTCAAACCTCTCAACACTGTTCGTGACCTGGGTTTAAGATATAGCAACAGTCTGAACTTTTCTGAGCACATTATATTTCAAGTATCCAAAGCTAGAAAGCTGATCGGATTGATAATGCCAAACTTTAATAATATCGAATCGAGATTGTTATTATACAGAAAATGTATCTTACCCGCTCTTGAATATGGTATTTTAGTTTACAGTAATTGCAGACATAATGACCTGACTAAAATTGAAGGTGTTCAATGAAAGTTCACCAAAGCTGTTCTGGGATATTCTGATAGCAAAGACTATCACCAAAGATGCCAACAACTCAACTTAGAACCTCTTTGGATCAAACTCATCAAATTTAATCTTGTCCTTATCTACCGACTTATTAACGGTATTTCCTACTCTTCGGTATCCACCCCTTCATACCTTACGATATCATCCCACAATCTACGCAATAAGGAGAATATTCTAGCGATTCCAAAAGCCCACACAAACTTACGTCAGAATTTATTCCTTATTCACTACTCAACCATGTAGAACAGACTGCCAGTAAACCTCCGTTGCAGTGAAACTACAATCCGGTTCAAAAGTCTCCTTGATGATTTTCTTTCCGAAAGTGGATTATGTCACCTACTGAATATCAATGTCTTCAATAATGATTTATACAAACAAGGTCCGTCATCCATTTAATTGCCTGGAAAGCGAAATAAAACCTTTAAATATTTTCACGTCTATTTTATTTTATTTCTATTTATCTTAATATATGAAGTCTGCTTATGTTCGTATCTATAATACTGCTGCCGGTGAAAGTGTTCTATCAAATCATTTGCATGTGCGTGGTAGGTGGTATTTCAGAATCGTGTGATTCCTTATAATGTAGTCAGACAACAGAGAAATCCAGAATAAAAGTGACGTCTACGATCTTTAGTGATAGCCGAAATTTGCTACCCATCGTCCGATGAAGGTGTGGGCCACTGTTTCAGCAGTAATATATTTGATAAGTACTGCTTCTGACCATCGTGTGAAATGTTTTTCACAAGTCCTTGCTTACGTTGCTAGTCGATTTATGTTTATGTTACTTGCTGGCCAATTTTGCTAAAGCTTGATGTTACAAGTTTATTCTGCTGAAGCATGTAGATGCTTTTAAAGCTTGTTAATAAATTAACAATAACAATTAATGTAGATGACCAGTTTTTATTATCGACTGAGCTAGTAAGTTATGAGTACTAATCAATATAACATTGCGACAATACATGCTAGCATTAATCAGAAGACTAATGGAATAATGGGTTAACATAAGAAAAAAATCGATCGAGTGGAAATAATTATGGTCTACTATGATATTAGTACTGCTCTAATAGCAGACCAAATCCTAAAATTGTACATTTGTCATGGTGTAACTGCCCAATCTATGAGATCTTACGTGAAAGTCACATTATTGTCTACATTGATTCATCGTATCGTAACAATTACCAATGGATGATGAAAAACACATTCAGGATGAAGATAGAACAATATTTAATATTGGTAACAGTAAGTTGTACAGAGCGACCATGCCTGTGAGACCGGGTAATGCCATCCGATCAATTCGAATTCATTCCATTTATTGTTCCCGCCTTCTCCATCGTTGGGATTTCCTCCGTGTCCAGCTCTGAGGATTGTGTGGTTAGGGCCCAGTGCCACTGCAAACCCATTGTTGTAGGACTCCTCGGATTGCCTAGTCGGATGCTTCTACCGCGATACTGATGGGTGATTGGGAGTCCTGGTATGATAGCAGTGTTGCTTTGTAGATACATTTCTTAACTGTGAAGTGTTTTTTTCGCGATATCGTCCAAAACGATGAATTTCGCATTTTTACGAAGTTGGTCGGGTAAAGGTCTCACAAGAGACGCGAATTTCGGTATGAACCGTCTATAGGAACTTACTAAGCCGTTGAATATGATTAGTTGCTTTAATATGGTCGGTTGTAGGTAATCAAGAATGGCCGTCACTTTGCATTGAGAGGTTGGATGTCTTGAGCACCAGTATTTTGTCCGAAAAAACCTAGAGTCAGTGCCGATTTGACATTTTTGAATATTCACGGTAATGTCGTGCTTTTTAGTCGTTTGAAGACAAGGTCCAGATGTTAGAGATGAGATTCTTTGTCCAGGCTTGCATTCAAACAGTCATCAACATACGAATGTAAGTAGATGAGACCTTGAAAAACGTCATCAGTGAACTTCTGGAAGATTTGTGCAACATTTTCTCAACCGAAGAGCCTGTGTGAAAATCAGTTATTGCGTTTAAGGTATCTGTCAGGTCGTGAATGTGTAACTAGGGGTAATGATTGGGAATAGTTTTTGTATTCAGTCGCCAATAACCAACAGTTCTACACCAATCGTTCCTGTCCGTTTTAGGGATTATGTGTAAGAGAGATGCTCATAGGTTGTTCGATGGCCAGGCGATTTCTAGGTCTATCATGTGATCGAATCCGTTTTTAGCCAACCTCAGCGTTTCGGGAGCCAGTCGGCGCACTTTCGAGAATAACGGTGGTCCTGTAGTCGTGATGTGATGTGCAACATTGCTGGTTAAACACGGCAATTTCGGTTGCGTTTGGTATATCCCAGAGTACTCATCGAGGAGTTGTTGATAGAATGGAAGTATTGTGTATCTAACTGTGACTGGAAATAATCCCATCTACTAATCTCCGTTTGCTCATGTCGATGAGTAGATTATGATGTTGTAGGAGGTCCCTACTAGTGGTTTGCATAGAAACATCTGCAATAACGAAGATCTGATGGGGGGGAAGTTTGGGTAAACCAACGTTAAGATAGACGTATCGTTTATCGTATGCGGCGATAGGTTTTCGTTTTGCCGCCTGTAAGTTTAAAATTGATTTGTGAAGCCGGTCATTAGGATTTGTTGGAAGAACGCTAACTTCTGCGCTAGTATCAACGAGATAGCAAAATTTCGTAGTCACATCACTGACGTACAATACACGGCTGTGTTTTACCGGCTACGGCTGCCGTTAACGTTTGCCGGCTAGGAGGTTTCCCGAAATGTTTTTCATGTCGGTCGGTTTGGAGTTTCGAAATTTACAAGGACAAGTCGAGATTTTCCGTACTGATTATGATACCAGCACCAGTCGGGGTTATCTTTCTCTCGTAATCTGGAGATAGATCGCTGTCGTGAAGAAATTCCTTTGCGGTTTTTGTGATCGTTTACGGTCATTACGAATACGACGTAACGTGCCAGCGTATGACAGTTCCGTACTGTCATTCTGTAACTCATTCGTAACAACATGTCTGCTGCTTAATCATGTTGCAGATCTCTGTTATCAAAGAGTTGGTCTAACCTTTGTCTACCGGTTGGGTTTCCTTATTTCAGTGTAGACAGTTTTAGAGTTACGTAAGGCTCTAAAACATAGCTAGTAAACATACTAGATGTGACGTACCTGTTGAATACGCGCAGTAGTATATTCACTGCTGAGAGAAATTATGCACGTGAGTTGGTCACCCCGTGCAAGTAGAAGTCGGCCTCTGCTTAGCAAAACCAGGCTTTCATGTGTCCGGCCAAAAGGACAGCTGAAATGAGGATGTTATTATAGTCCTGAACTTAAGTACATTGGGATTCTGTTCTGTCATGGCGAATATGAAGTACAAGGATGAACGAGGGTAAAAGAATATTCAAAAATACGAAAAAATCACAATATGTAAAAAGTGAAACAAAGCAATGATATGTGAAGTTCCAAAAATGAACAGACTCACAGTTTATAAGTTAGTGTACCACATCACGCCGGGTTCACCAATGAAGATACCACAGGTATTTATAGTTTGATAACACTTTAATCAGTAACACATTCTTTAATTGAATCGTGCCTACCCAACAAAATCCAAAGTTATGAGCGAGGGGGTTCGAAGATATATTTGATAGGCTATCAATATATCGAGAAGCGACTGATCTAAATCGGTTAGCGGTTGCAAGGGAAGTTGAGCATGGAGTTTCCACTAGTGACCTGGTGCGGATGCATGACCGAGCGCATTTAGCTAGGTGAGTCCATTAAAACTAATGTGGTCAGCATCCAATATCGAAGACTTACAGAGCTATTAACTTTGGGGATTTATTTACCGCTACACATTATTCCTCTAGCGAAAGCTATTAATATAGATTATCCAATGACTCAAGAATGGCTACTCAGAATTCTTATAGATCGTTTACTTTTAGGTGAGTGCACGTAGGATGATTGTTAAGAAAGAGACTGAAGACCAATTTGAATATCTGACGTCCTTACACGTCCAAGGTCGCTGGTTATCCTGACGCTGGTTAAGTGTTGCTCGGTTTACTCGTGAGGATTTTGTCCCGGCACATTCAAATCAGTCAAATTGCTGTCAGTTACTTTCATTGTTAAACCTAAGTGCATCCTATCTGATCACTGAGTTGTCCTCTCATTTTATTCGTACTGTTTTATCCTAATTTAAATAAGGGGGAATCCCCTCCACACACACACTGTTCGGACAGTGTTGGGGGTGTAAAGATCCAACATCTCCAATATGCAACCCACCTGCATGTCAGACATAAACCTAACAAAAACTAAACGTTATACGAGTTTCCAGCAGTTATTTGCCACATTCAGGTCCAGAAGAGGAATTTATCCATAAAGGCCGAGACGATCAAATTCAAATGGTTTGGTAATCTGACAGTGCAATCTCGCTATTTTGGGGAATTTCGGGTAATCTTGAGGTTTTCCTCAAAGTCGGGAAAAGTTTGGTAGCTTCCCTCAAAGTCAGGAGAAAACCCAAAATCTTGGGGATTTTCCCCGGACCCAGGAAAAAATTGGGGGTTTTGTCCTATTTCCTCAAAGTTCCCTATTGTAGCTTACCCAAAACGGACATAAGTTTCCCCAAAATAGGGAGGTTGAGAGGTTTTTATTGGCGATAACAGACTACGGGACTAAAATCTTTAACGAATATCAATATTTATTTATAAGATGGCAAAAACGGGAAAGTGTGTATACTATCTTAAAGTAAACTTGTAATACGTTAGTAAAGTAGCGATTTGATTCGTAGAATATGAAAGATGAGGATTACTTGTTCGGACCCGATCCGATTATGCTCATTGCATTATTGATATCTCTTTGAAAGCCATACGGATTAATGTGCTTGTCCCCAATATAATCTCCGCATAATCGAGTCGGTTTTAAGCTATTGATGCAAACTCGTTTCGCACCAATATTTCACCTAAGTGTAAGCACCTATGTAGTAATTAATTGTATATTGAACTCACGGAAACAGGAACTTTCTGTGGCTTAAATTAAAATACCGTTATTGTGTTCATACTGTTTCCACTCAGTTTCTAGTCCCGTCATACATGAATTTATGTTCTATGGCACCCAGCTCTAGAGACCTTGGATCACGTCCATTTTCGGCCCTGGAACAGGACTAATGGGAGTGGGTTTGTGTTAATATCCCCATGGATTATGTCTTTGAATACAATTATGGATAGAGGTGATAGCACTTGTTTTAGCATTTCATCAGTTAGCTGACATACTGTAAGGAAAACAGAAAATCCGTCGTTTTACAAGATACAACAGTCGTGAGTTTACATTCGAACGGTGTTCCTTATGCTTCCACTTTACCTTCAATCATAGAATGCTCCCTATCCAAATCGTACCACAGAAAAGCTAGCCATTCAGCGACTTAGAAATTTATGCTTAATGTCGCCAGGCCCCAATGAGTTCTATTCCGAGTGTGTGGAAATATATTTTGCCTTGTATAAGTTGTAATATCTTCATCTTCCATACCATTTGGTGGATTGTTACTCGGAGACTAACAGTTTTGTGAAGTACTTCAATTATGCTTTTAAATCAGTATTTTCAGCAAATCGGAAGTAATTTAAACCCTGACGACCAGAGGCACCTGATATGACTAGCCTTATAATTTACCAAAATTAGGACCTATATATTTCTGAAGAAATACTAGTGTGCTTATTAACTATTAACTAACTCACCAGTTACTTGGGTGTGAGTTACGCTATAAGTATGAAGGGTAATATTACCATCCTGTTGCTCAAACTGAATTAGGTGGAGTAGGCTCCAAACCTAGGATATAGTGGGTAAAAGTCGAATGTCTTAATCACTGAGCCATCGCTACACTAGTATACTTATCAAATCCGTTTTCTAGCAATCTTTGGCATTTAATAGGCAATAAGGCATATCAGTCAATGTGTTAAGTAGTACTTTAATGGGGGTGATCACTTGACCATTGAGAGTTAATTGTTTAAACTTGCTTAGTTCCAAATCAACTCTCCAAATTAGTATTATCTCAATTTTTTTACGTTTTAGATAGTTATCTGTTGCTTCTTGATCAACGCCTTGTCTTTTGTCCGTTATTAAACGGCCGCTCATTACCTGTAATAATGCCTATCCCGGAGTTGTCTAATATATTGCTCCAAGAGTTTGTGAATTTCAAAGTATTGCAATTGCACAATAACCCTGTTATTATTGATGGAGAGGACTTTAGTGAATATTTTTATGAATATTTAAAATTACCTATAAAATATGGCGGCGAATATTTATCTTATATTGTACATATTAAGCAGTTTTTGAATGAAATCAAACAATGCAAGATTTATCCATCCTTTCTGTTTGGCTCCGATTGTGAAAGAGTCGTAAGTTTTTAATTTATTGGGAATATTTATTTGAAGTCTGCATCCCAAGTTTTCAGAGTATGAACAGATTCCCGATTATGAAGAACTTAATTTTTTATTATCTAAACGCTTCAGGGATCATTGGAAATCTAGCAACGTAAAATATCACACTGTAGCACACCAGTTAGTTACATTTTTTATGACAGTAAAAATTTAAACGAATATTTCGATTAATTGTAAATAGAAAATGAGTACATATAAGACAAATCGGTAACGTCTCATTTTCTGTTATAGGATGACCATCACTTCCCAATTCCACACATTGTAGAAGAATATTGTTTGAGAGATCTGAAAAGTGGATTAGTGTTGGTTCTAGAGACCCAGCATCACCCAATGGGCAAATGCTTGAGGCATCATACACAGCATTTTTGTGGAGTTTCGGTAATGTAAGTAATCTATTCACCCTAAGACACTGAGTGTTAATCCAAATACCGTCATCATACATTCTCGTGTAATTCATATAATTCCATGGCGGTGCCCGAGTAATTCATATATTGGTACATGTACAAGTTTTATAACTACACCAAAGATCGAGTACGCTGTTACTATAATCTATGAACATAAATGCTATTTCCATAGTCGATGCTTACCACATTACAAATTGTCCATCCAATATTAGGGTAGGAAATACTTATGATCTCAGCTTAAGTATTTCACTAAACGTTACAAATCCGGACATTTTTATCAATACTTAAATCACCGCGAAAACAAGTAATTTCATGTATCTCAACATATTTAACTAAGAAAAAAAGATATGTAGTACAATAAACCTAGTGTTTGATTTCTTTTGTGCTTTTTTGGAAATCTACGCCATCAACATAGAAATAGTGCTCTGAATTTCACCATCGAACTTCTAATTCACACCAAGTAATCATAATTTATGCCAACATCAAGGAAAATACTAAGTAAGGGGATATTGTCACTCTGGAACGGAGGAATGGATTTATTTGGAGTGAATTGTATCGTCAACTCCCACCTCACTTATATGTATTTGCCAAAGCAGTTACACTGCTAAGACATAAAGAGAATCTTACGTTCAATTCAACGAGTATATTGCAAAAAGTTTGAGGTCAGGCAGATTAAAAGGTTCTAGCAGTGATATTTCATGATATTCCTTTGACACAGGACACCAAGTTTATACATTGAAGTCGTTCAAGGTGACTAATAAAGAATCGAACCCCTCATCTTCTGAAATCATCTAAAGCCATGATCAGACGTTTGAAATTGGACTTAAGTGTTCAAAAACGAACGGTGATAAATCTTTACTGTGGTAAAATTACACTCACTTTATTACATCATCCCTTGTTTCAACTCTTTCTCACACCTTAACAACACCACTTTCATTTCTTTGAATTTCTAGTCTCGATCCGTGTTACGTGTTACTGACATGAATCTGTGTTCAATTACTTTACTACGTAATTTATTTTAACCACCTTTACGTTCTTATTAGGCCATTTGAAATCTTCGCTCTACCATAATATACAATCGCTTCTAATCGATTTCGCATTTATAATTATGTCAATTTTCCTGATAATTTTAACATATTATAGGTCGTAAGCAACTGGAAAGTTAAATAGAACAAAGTAAATTCATGTCCTGTCCGAATGTTTGTTTTTACCCCGTTCGAGATAAAGGGAACTATAAATGTGGAACTCCGACGTCATTGGTTGGTTTTTAGTACTTAATTGTGGTATTGTATTATTTAATTATACACCAGCAACCGATGGTTAGAGACCCTGAATGACATGGCTCAAAATCGTTCGCAATGGCGCAGGTGCATCCACTCTCTGTGTTCTCCCAAACTCTAATCTTCTGAATTCTTCATGTCCCTTTTTCCCTCTTTCCAAATTTCTTTCACTGGATTATACTCTTTAAATAACATCTCCAAACCCTAATCTTCCCGATTACTGCTTATACTCTTGCTACCTCGTGGTGTGGCAACTCGAACTGATGTACGTACGTACGAAGTTCTACGTTGTTACTGACTGACTAATTATACACTGTCCGATTTGAACAATTCGTGATTCTTATTTACTTTTTAATGGTCAGTAGTTAAAGCATGACATAAAATCCGTAAGATGTCTTTTTACCAAATTCGTAATACCATTATCTAACTTTTATCAGCGCTGTTAAAATTAGCTTGTTCGTATTTACTGTTTTTTTGGGGGGATCTCAGGGCTTACAACTTTCCAGTCAACTTCAAGCAATGGAATCAACAATAAAATTATTATCTTCAAGTAATACACAAAAGAAAAATTCATCGCCTATACCTTACTATATGTTTCTGCAAAGTATGTTAACAGATGTTCTCAGTGATATGGAAATAAAATTTTTAAAGTCTCCTTATCCTCGTATACGAAGTTGTGTCTCATTAGCTACTTATCTTCACCATCCAATCATTGCTAGTTCTCCTGAATATTTTTTAATCGGTACTCACCAGATGTCATCTGATACATCTCCTTGTTTTATCCCACTATCACTCATGAAATTTCAATGTTTGGAATCCGAAGGGAGTTGTTATTGTGAATCAATAGATGCAGAATCACAATCCATCCAAAATCCATGTCGTTTCTTAACAGTCCATGAATTTATTCCTAAACCATCTTCAGTTCATCCAGCCTGTCGACCGTTGATTGGCTTGTTACTTGGTACGGACTCAATGCCTCACACAAAACTCCCCAACTACTTGTATTCGATCATAAACAACATAGAGAAAAGAAGCTACAAATTTCGACGCTTTATGACTCTGGTTTCATGGTTTTCCCAATTCAACACTAATCTACAGACCCCAATTGATGAAATCCTAAAATGCTACTCTTCCAAAGAAAGAGGTAAGCTCTTAAAAATGTTCGCAGAATCACTGGCGGGATACTTTCCAGACTTATACTTAGGTCAAAAGTTATCTGTTTCTCTTCATCAAGAAATTTCAGTATCAACTAGAAATCAGTCGAATCCTCCAATTTTTGTATATAGCACACAGGAACCTAATTCCACAACCGAAATTGTATTATGGCAAAGACGTCTTGGTGATTTGTTAAAAGGTCAGCTGACCATTATCCTAGGAAGTATGGATTTTACACAAGGATGGTCAAATTATTTATTACAATTATATTTTAAACATAAACTTGCACCATTCATTTTAACTCCTATCTATTGTCAAGGTGGCGTTGTTATGCCTTTATTAATTGAAAATTCAAATATTGAATTGTCAGCCTATGAAATTTCACTACCTTTAAGATGGATGCACTATCGTTTATTATGTGGTATTGAACATAACCTATCACATAAACAAAAACTAATCGGTTTAAATCCTCATATTTTGGAATATCACCGTGTTGGTGATACACTAACAACATATCAAATTCAAGTTGATCCTTTAATTTTAAATCGATATGAAGATACAACAGATAAAATACTTTCAGGTATAGTTGGATTTTCATTTTCTAATTTTAATGTTGAAAGAAAATGGATCGTAAGTTTAGCACTGACCTTAACATTTTGGTTTCATGCTATTACAAAAAATAAGAGCAATTTACGCGATGATCTACGAAATTCTCCTGTTGTTCTAGCAACTGTAGCAATTGCTGTCACCAATTATTTCAATGTTATAGAATCAGATGAAAAAACAGTTGAACATTATGGTATTTTGATTAAATTCCTAAAGGATAAGTTATCTGATCGACTGTCATCATCGTCTGTTGATTCGTCTATTGTTCATCATTTTACTTCAATTCACACTGTATATATCTATCTACGATCATTGACACATTTAATTGATGAATTGGTACTATCTGATCGAAAATCTAATTGTTTGAGCTTTCTTCCGTCATGGATATTCTTTCCGTCTGGACACTTATTTTATAGTCTTGTGATTGATATAGAATCACTTAAACCAGATGATAGATTCCGTTTAACTTTACGCTATTGGCTCCCTCGTCTTTATCGTATTCCAAAGTTAAACTCTGAATCCGCAATGAAATTGCAAAAATTAGCTGAAATTTACGAACGTGTAATAAATATTGCAAGTGAGATGATATGTTTACCAGTATTTGCTCCAAATATTGTATATACAAAGGTACCAACAACTATTCCTGTCATTGATTTGCTTAAAAATGAAACACCTTCAAATGCCCCAAGTTCAGTTAGAACAACAAACACGGAAAGGAGCTTACAAGATAAAAATTCAGAATTCAAGAAAAGATCACACTCTTCTATCAATATAAAATCAGATATCCCACTATCTAAATCTAAACAGTCATTACCTAATCGTCATTACTCAGAAAAAACATTGGTAACGTCTAAAAAACAATCTCGAAAATTACCTTATCATTTACGCTCTACTGGTTATGCTGCTCGTTTACGTGCCAGACTTGAAGAAACAGAATAAGATATCAATTATTTTTTCTTTGTTGTTGATTACTCTATTTTAAATTTGTCAATTTCCTTCAACTACCGATTTTATTATGCCTTTCAAGTTGAAAATTATTCCGGTTATTTTTCATTTTCTCATTATATTTTCCAAAATATCAGCATTTTTATTGGAGAATATCAAGTTTGTTTTTTGCCGTACTCGTACTCCTATACCTTTCAAGGGGCTTTTTTATTTAAAGTGTATCTCAGTTGATCTGGAGACTATTGTTTTGAGAACATGTTACTGGGTTTTTAAGGTTCCTCGTATTCTTTTGAAAACACAAATGAACTCGATGATATGGGTAAAAACGCCATTAAGCACTTTACTTTTTATTTAAGTTCTAATCAACGTTGTCTCAAGTGTAACACTCCTATTTTCAACCAATTCAATAGTAAGATGCTAGATGTCTTGTGTGGCTTAAACTAATATTTCTTCGTTATTTGTATTGTTGGCAAGTACTGATCACATTTCAATTGAAAGGATCTTGTATACTTCTCAGTCTTTATGGGCATTCATCTTAAAAGACACTGTCTTCTTATAGGTCTATCCAATTAGTGTTGACTCCGTCCTTGTAATCTTGTGTACCAAGCTTATTCAAATTATCATTCTAACCACCTCTGAGCTTAAACTCACAAGTCTGAAAAGTGCCACTTCGCAAAACAGATTGTTTCTGAAATAAACTGCATACATACAAGGACTTTATCTTAGCTATTATGTATTCTATACTTGTGGCTGAAGACTATTTGGCAATATACTTATTAACCAAAATTTATATGACTTTTCACTGAATTACATTTAGCTTCAGTACAGATAATTGAATTAAAACTGTTTACCGTCAACAGGTTTCAATATCATCAGTCATTTCCAAAGACACTCCGTAGGTAATTGTTATTTCGAAATCGTCACCTTACGAAAACAAATAGGGAGCTCCTGTGTCATATTAAACTTTTGTGGCAGTATCCAGCTATTTAGAACTCTGTCACTCAGAAACAACATAGAACCTGGCACAAGTGGATCGGGCCACGTTGCCACACCACATCAACACGGTGAGCTGAAACTATAAAGATGAATATCAATGTAGTAAGTTCAGTGGTAGCAAAAAAGATTAAGCATGAGAAATATAGTTCAAGAATAAGTAGCTACCAAAAAGTCTTGAAACTGAGTATCTAAAGGAGGAGGAAGAGCGCACCTGAGTTATTGCAATCGATTCTGAGCCACATTATTCAATGCATTCAACTGCCATTCACGGTAATCTTCTGGCCCCCTAACAAGTAGTCTGCACTAATGGCACAGATCAACAGTCACAGAATCTGTGGATTGAAGCTATCCAGATCTAAAATAATGGAATTGATTGCCTTTTCTGTTTAGAATCATTAGAAATCAACAGTCGAAACTATATCTTGAGCTACTGAAGGTTTGTGATTGATGGAGTCTATGATACCAAAATAGTGTGTTTTCTAATTTCTTTATTAAGTCTAATATATATTGTAATGTATAATAATTCACTCAACGTGGTTTTTCTGTTTAGAAATTTGCACAAATATGTCATTAATAATGCTTTATTAGTTGAACTAACCTTTTGACTGATAAAATAGTACTTGGGAAGTCGTCAGTTTCTCGTTTCTAATATCCGGATACAATTAACTAATGAAGATCTGTATTGATTGCAAATTTTTCCGACCTCTCCTATTGTGGGAAGGTCACATCTCTGCAGATCCTGATTGTCTGAGTGAAATACCCTACTACCCTCATGCCCTTTTACAGTCAGCAGTAGGCATCGCTCTCGAACCATAACTTTGCTGCTTCCAGTTATTACCTTTCTCCAGCCAACCTACCTGAAATGATAAGACCCAAAAGAGTAAGTATTTCATGGTAGCAGCTAAGGAAATAATACGTATGTGTACTTGTTTAATCGTTTGCGCCTGTACAAATTATTTCTGAACTGGTAGGTGACTAATTCCATTTTTCGTTGTATATAATATAAATCGACTTAATCATTTATACCACGTGATTGGAAAATACCATCCAATTAGGTATTTGTTCGCTTTTAAAATTACCGAAAGTTGAAAAACTTTCAAAAGCCATGAAATTAAATCTTTCTCAAGCTCTAGGGAACTGAATGTTCAAGAACACGAAGAATTTTTAGTTATGTATACGCAAAATATATCCTTGAAATCCACTAGAAAATACTACACTATGGTGTACGTACACATAACTCAGGCCACTTTATACTACAGTGTTTTTAATTGTACTAACAGTGGACACTAGTCAGTATTGTTAATGTGGTTAACAGACTGCATTCCTTGGGATGCTGAGTCTATCAATGCATATGTTAAAATTTGTTAACTATCTGTCAACGTTTCAGTCTGTCTCAGTGAAACTTTACTTCTTACTTTTTGATGCTTTAGACTGCGAAGAACCTTCATAAATTTACCGGACATATTTCAGTCAGTCAGCTACAACGTAGGACCAGGCACATATGTGCATCAGTCCAAGTTGCCGTACCTCACTAGCACAACAAGATCAACGCCGGATTCATAGTATTTAATTCAGTGGTGGTAATATATAAAAGAAAGATTGCATATAAGAACATAGTACAGGAAGAAAGAAAGTTGTGAAGCGCTTTTAATCTCATAGTTTAAAGAAAGACAGTGAGTGTATACACATACGCCATGGTGATCGATTCTAAGCCATGTCATGCAGCTAACTTGAAATTCATGTTTCTGTTTACACTATTATCAGCTAATTGTAATATCATATATTCATGTTCAAACTAGGATCATGGAGATTAGACATCAAGTCGCGTATTAGTTACGGATTTCAGTTAATATGTACCAAACGTAGGTTTACGTCAATACAAAACATGTTTCTTATTTTTCGATTTAATACCAACTCCTAACAGCTATTTATATGTCTGTGCATATATACACCGTGTTATCCGTCGCGTACACTTATCAACAGAGGTCACTCATTTGAATTTAAATCACCCAGGATGTTTTTCAGAAATTTAAAAACGAGTGGTTGTCGTTACTAGCTGATTTATGCTTTGATTATCTCCTAGCCAGACAACTTACTGATTGTGAACGAGTACCTAATCAAGTAGTAGAGTCCTGACGTCTTTTTGCAATATTAACACCTATAAAACATGACGTAACCAAGTGGCTCTTGAACTAATTAGTGGGTGAAACATTTACAGAGCTATACTGGAATTCACAAATCTTCGAGTGACAAAAACTCACCGATGCTGAAATTACTCAGTGTCTTATTCTAAATTGCCTATAATTCCGTTTGTAGCAAGTGCAAGCATTCAGGGGAACTCGAGCAAGACGTATCGCTTAAAAGAAATTAGATTAGGCGAATCAGAAACTAACTTGTAGGAGGGTAATATAAAACGATTTCAGTGTGCTCCGGCCTTCATCATTCCATTAAAAAAAATAAAAGGGATGCGAAAGAAGAACAATGTTAACCACATGATTCTCATACAAAAATAACATGTCTAAAATAATATAAGTAGTGTTTATGTATTTTGTAGATCGTGTAATTTCTTCATTTATCATAAGTTCTCTAAGAGTTGTTAATTGTCAAACTCCTGAAATAAAATCGATAGCTTACCTTAAGGAGTTACTGCCTACTTCTGAGATTTTAGATCTGGCAATAAAAAGAGTAAAGCCTTAACACTTCTCTAGATTGCTGCTGGTTTTTTCCTTTGCTAGAAATCTGTGCGCTACACCATATGTGATATTTCATCTGTTACTAGATGTCTCAATCGCTTTTAAATTCACCATTTTCACTCCGTTATTTAGATGAAAATACGCCTACTCCTTGAGATCGGACGTTCATTTATTATCATTTCTAAGATACATTGAAGCGGTTCTAAATTATGATTGAATTTGCATTATGCTAAACTAATTTTAGTTATTTATATAGGTTATAGTATTTTCTTATTTACAATAGTTCTTCAATCAACATAAAATTCATACTAAAAACCATCATGAAAATAAACTTTACGTATGGTAGGTTTTTGGTGAATGTTATCAGGGCATAAATTCACTTGGTATTGTTTACTTGAATTTTCCCATTGATGTTTAAGACTACAACTGATCGGTCTCTTTTGGCATATGTGCATAGTATGTGTATTGCCTCGATATTGCCTTAATTCACAAGCATTATAAACAAAGATGAATAGTGGCTAGCGGTGGAATCCAAGTAAATAATACCAAGTGAATGTAAACTTCATCCCATTGCACAAGCAAGTGGCTATCAGGACTCAGTACCTAAGTGGATAACGCGATGGCGTTTAAAGCGAAAGTTACTGGGTTCAATTCGTGGAGTGAAGATCAACTCTGAGATGCAGGTACATCCAGCTGACAAGTCCCAAACAGGAAGAAATCTTCGTCCTGGATTCCATTGCTGGCCACTATCCATCTTTGTTTATCAGGGCGCAGTTTAGAAATTGTGACCAGGATACAAACCTAGTATGAGTAATTCTTGTTATTTAAGTTCAGAAACATTGTAGACTTAACATCTTACTGACCTAAAAGTCATTGGTAAATGAATTCTAACAAATCATAAATGAATATGAGAATTAACATTAAATTTTACTTACAATTAATGTTCCATCCTTATAAACAATAAAATACACAGACTCATTATAATTTCCATGTTTCATTCTGTTCTCATCTATCATTTTATTCGAATTCATCAACTGAAATGTAAATATAAACGCTAATAAGTTCTTCAAATGTTCAATTTCATCATACTATATTAAATTTTTCTTTAATTATCACATAGTTTTTATATAAAAAGTGTTTAGGTCACATCAAATCCTACTAAGTCTATTAGTTAATGAATTAATAGCACTACGGTGACGACCTTCACCTTGACATTATGAGATTTCACGATTGGCGGGTAAGTAAAAAGAAAATCAAACATTTAATTATAATGTTGAATATTATTATTATTTTTCGTAACTGTTTGATCAAAACTATTATTGGTGTAATATAATTGTTTAGTCATATATATTCTTGTTAATTATTGTGATTAGTATTTGATTCAATGGCGAGTAGTTTATACAAATCTCGTCCTGAATATTTACAAGCTCCGAAATTTTATGGATATAAAACTATTAGTGTAGAAGAGGAGAAAAAACTAGTTGAACGTCTCAGTAAACCAACAATTTCGATTATTCAAGCTCAATTAGCCAGCTTATCTAATCGAAGTCATCATCAAACATTAGACATTCAAAATCCAAAATTCAATATTGAAAGTAACAGTGTTAATCCTATAGAGTATTATGATGGTGAAACATTAACTAGCCGAGGTATTTCATCGCCACCATCGTCGCCATCATTATCACCATCGAATTGTTCAAGTCGTTTGGTTGACTTGAGATCAATTGATGATTATGAAAATGTTTCGGATAGACTGAATAAATTAGCAGAAATATGGAATAGAACTGGAAAATCTAATCCACTTTTACCACCGTGTGCATGTGCTCGTGGTGAATTATTACTGAAAGAAGATAATGAAAATTGGATGATGAACATACATTGTCATTGTTCTAGCGCTTGCTCTAGTGTACATAATCGATATACTTCTATTCAAGAACCAGTTGAATGGAATAGAATCAATAAAATTGTTCGACGACTTCATAGTTCAGGAACAGCTGGATCTATTGCACGTCAAAAAGAAAGTCAAGCATTATTATCTGCATTGTCAAAACGACACATCGATCATTCAACTAATTATTTTACCGAAAATATTA